CCTGGGCTGCATCACCGCAAGCCTCACCTGGTCAGCTCTGAGCTGCCAGGCAAGGCCCCCACACACGGTCGCCGATCCGCGTGCGTTGTCCTTTGTTGGCCAGATGGCCATTGGAATCCCCCAAGTCCAAATTCATCATATCATGTCAAAACCATTGCCCCTGCAGCACCCCCGCCCACCACGACCGTGCATAGTACTTGCGCTCCCTCGCTGCAGCCTCCTAAGGCTACAGCGCCCAGCTTCTCTCTACAGACGGGCCGCCACCGGCACTACACAAACGCCTTTAGTTACACGTGCTACACTCCTCCTGAAAGGGGGTCGGCGGCACCCGGGCGAAGCCCTTACAATAAGTTTTGGTTCCTAACAGTTTTTGTAGGCAGCACAAACTTGCTCATCATCCAGTGTCCTATGATTGTCCACGCTTATCGATCAGGATCTTAAATGAAACTGGCCAAGCACGGCTGTGATTTGCAATACGTACCACAGTATCATCCAGTCATACAGTACCTCAGCACCTAACAGTTCAAGTTTACATGGATGGTCCGAAGTCAGTTCAAATTGATGAGTTACGGAAAGGGCCGAGACGCTCTCAACAGAGCATTTGCACACTGACTTGCTTGCGTGGTGAAAGAGAACCGACAGCAGGAACAAGTGAGAGGTGCCCAAGGCCTGTCTTGACATAAATGGATTGATTGGTATTGAGTTGGTGGTAGTGAAATGTTTCATGGGTGGCTGAGGGTCAACCTAATGCCAAACGACAAAGAAGGCGCCCTCCCTTTTCCATTCACTACCCGGCGCTACTACACTAACCCTTATACTTGCAGTCTTAGCTGGAAGCTCTCTTGTAGAGGGCCAGTGTGTAATTATTGATCGCTTAGCAGCACAGCCTTCACAGTTCCAGGCTTTTGATCGTCTGCGGAGTGTTTGATTTTCCGTGGAGCGTCACTGAGAAATGTTAAAGCCGGTCGCTCAAGGACCTTTCCCCAAGCTAATTGGAACCTACCACAGCCTTGGTATATAATTGCGAACTTGCTACTAGCCAAAAGAAGGCGGCGGGGCAGTTGCATCAATCATTTGTGATGTTGGTAATGCTATGTACAATGATGCTGATCTACAGCAAACAAGCTACACGCACCTTCTTGGTAGTGTGAGCGACTTAATTTGCTCCTTCGCGCTCACTCTACCATTGTAGTCTAGGTTTTTCCATTCGATTCTTGTTTTTTCTGCAGGCTTTTTAAGGAACGGGGTTCCCACAAATGGGTGGTATCTCTGTTTGTGGTCTATCTGGAAAATCTCTTCTCATGACAGCACATTCTAGTAACTCTAGGTATTTATCCATTTCATTTCCTGCCGAGCCTGCTGCCTCTTGCAATCCTCTACTCATGAAATTCCAATGTCTTTCATGCAGTCATGCAGTTGCTTGAGTTTTGCTTGAAGTCGACCACACATTTGACTATTGTCCTCTGATTGATATTTTCCTGTTTCCTATCTTGATCGTCTTGTTCAATGGTCCTTCCGATTGGGTTGCTCCATCCATAGCTTAGCTGCCTGCAACACTACTCTATGTCCCCAATTTTGTCCTTCTGTTGCCTGCATATTTTCTAAGCTCCTCCTGGCTAAGAAGTTTCCTGCGTTCAACTCTCCTAGGTCCTAGCACATGACGGATCAGCTTACTTATCCACAGAGCCTTGGCGCTCAATTGCCAGCTTTGCTGGCGTTCATGAAGATCACGCGGTTTGCCGGGTTGGTCCGGTTTACCACTGGCGCCTCTCTAGCTTTGCAGCAGAGCTATTGGCGGTTTTGGTCACTTTTGGGTGGAACGCGAAACCGCTCATTATCCACACAAACTCTCTGACCGTTGCACAACAGCTGGTTGACACAATGTCCATTGACCCTGCATGGACACATGGTGAGAAAATCGTGCCTGTAAGCCACCTGAAGTCAGTGCGCCTGTGCCTGAACCAATTTCTGGACGTGCCAAGACAACTGTGCCCAATGTGGCCATGGGATGCCGATATTGCACGATAAGCAAGGTGTCTTTGGATGTTCCGCTGAAAACGAAACGATCTCTGTCTGTTCAAAACTTTAGGAAGTTTTTGCAGTACTGCAGCTCCTTACATTGGAGCATTGGTGAAGGCAAAGCTTGTTCTGCTTTTGAACTCGCAGTGGCTGCTTACTTTCGGGGCTTTCACTTCGATCTCCCCAAAGGAGCTATAGCCACCCCTCATGCTTATGCCAAGAATTGGAGGGATGGCTTTGCTGTCTGTAAGCTCATGAACCTGGCCGTTGCTCTGCTCCTTCTTGAGTTCAGTCAAGAACAAATGGCAAGTCGTACCCCAAAGGAGCTTTTGTTGGCGCTGATGCTTGGCGTTCAAACAATGTTTTGCAGAGCCTGTGTGAAGCATTTTGTTGAGGGGCAAAGGACACCCCTAATTCATGGCTCATTGCTTTTGATCTGATCGGATGATCATCTCCCTTCAGTTGGCCAAATCGGACCCCTGACGCGGAAGCTCAGGGGATGCCGAGGACCTGGATCGTTCGGCGTGAGAGTAAAGCAAATTAAGGGTCCTTTAAAGGAGCCCTCATTAAAGAGGACCTTACCTTCTTTCCCTTGTCTGATGATCAAGGTTTTTGTGTTGTTTTCCTCTACTATTCTTTTGACTTTCTTTAAAAGTGCTTCAGTGATCGCCAAGGAGCGAAACGGGGCTCCCAGGGATAAACCAACCAGGACACAGCGCCGGGGAAGGCATCGAGGCCTGGTCGTTCCTGAAGGCCAGGCTTCGATTCCGCACAGTAATGCTTTATTACACTGGTCGACTGCTTGAAGGAAAGACTCCAGAAACCCGAGAAACATATATTCGTGACATATGAATTAGAAATATATATATATAATATCAAGAAACCATGTCCGATTGCTTGAGGCACAGTGTCAACCTGGCAAGATTCCTCTTGCCGAATGCGCTCTCCCAAAGGCTAGGACAAAGTTTCTTGCTTTCTGCAGCAACAGTTCCTGTAGAGGCAGTACAAGACTAGTGACTCTAGAGACTCTATGATGGCGCCACACTGGTCCACAAGCATACAGGGTCATGCCGGCCTGGAGGGTCATTTGGAACTTTGGGCATAGCAAATAGTGAACCAGCAAGGCACCTCACACTTTTCCCTTCCAAGTTCTCTCACTCTGATTACAATTGTCTGCCTCATTCTAGTATCAGAACCAAACCCTGTCCTGAGCTGGTGATGCCATGTTTATTTGTTGAAACATGCGGCAATTTGCCAACTTGCCACTGCCGTTGTAGTCTGTACTGTAACTAAATATGTTGTATGAATGCTCTTACATATATATATAATATAAATATATCTATACTAAGCAATGTCAACAATGCTATCTTGCAACACAGATCAAGCACTATCGACAAGAGGCCAATGAAGTGTCTGGACCTATCAAACGTTCAATCAAAGCTTTTTCATGAGCTCCAAGGCTTCGATACCAAAACAGCAAGTGCTTGCCCTTTACCGAGCTAGACTATCAACTTGGACTCACTAAAGTCTAAACAATGAAAGCCTCAAACCATCGTGACAAATTCGTATCTCTGAGAAATCACAATAGAGGAAATCGGAGAAGAACTATTTGTCCGTTGCAGAACGCTACAAATAGCAACAAATAGCCATAGAAGCTGTGTGTCCTTGCTCTAAGATTGCGACTGGCTGCAAACACAAGTGGCAACTCCCGTCTCATGGCTTGTTTGTGGAGTTGCAGGAGAATCTTTAAGACTCGATGCAGGAGAATCTCGTTCTGAACGATATGGTGGGTCTGCTTTTGCCTTGTCAAATCTTGTCAATTTTGTAGTGCCAAGTGCCTTCTGACCTACTACAAAGGGAGCTCTGGGCTGCGGATCAAAACGAACGAAACAATGTAGTTATTTGACCTTGTGCAACTTGTGTTCTTTCTGTGCTGCGCATTTTGCCGTGATTATCGATGTCAAAACAACTCTAACTCTATTCATCAACATGAACGAGAAGTATATAGTAGGATCGATTGAACCATTTGCCCTTTAGCAATGTCGTCTGGAAACCCTTAAACTGGGATCCCCGGCAACCAGATTTTCTGGCAGCAGCTATTGTATTTGCAGCGCTCAAGCACATATGTCGGAACCTGGATGAACATGATGGGTCTGATGGGAATACTCTACTTGCACAGGAGAAGTCGAGAAAGCTCGAACTTGTTTGAATTGCCCAACATTGCTGATGGAGTTTTGGGCATTCACAATGTCGAAGACACTAAGCCCACCGCAGAATATAATTGCAACTAAAACGTTTTTGACATCTTTGACAAACAAAGCAGGTCCCAGCAGAAGGAAAGCCTTGTGCTGTGACGGGCCTGTTCTCCAACTTCTCTTGACCTGGAGCAACAGGTGGCCTGCTGGAGTCCTGGCAGTAACTAGCAAGGTGCCTTACTACTAGTAGCTTGTTACTACTAGTAAGGCACCTTACGATGCACTTGTTACTAGTAGTAACAAAGGAACTGAAGCTGTACTCGCAGTACAGCAACAAAGGAACTGAATGAAGAACTCGGAGGCCCGGAAATTGTCTTTAGTAACAAGTGCCACGCTAGTAGTAACAAGTGCCTTACTAGTAGTAACAAAAAGCTATTAGAATTAAGTTTAAATTGGTCAAAGTTGGGGGGACTTACGGAAGTCGTGGCTAAACACCACAGATACTGTTGCAGAAAACGAGGCTGTCGAGTATCAAACCAGGTGAGTGGTATTGCCATCATATACAGTAGGCGACACACTAACTTGAGCCCTAGGGTAATTTCTTCGAAGTAGGCAGGAAATAAGAACCAAATGAAATGTAACAGCGGCAGTGACGTTCATTCTCCTCGGCATTCTTCATGTGGAGGTTGTGAATGCGGCAAATCAATTCCAGTGTGCCAGGATCCTCCTGAAAAACATTGAGCAATGCAAAACAAAAAATGCTTTGCATCGGGCTCATCTACCTCTGTACTGTAAACCTCTTTAGTGGAGACCTCTCTGCTCTATAGTGGGTGCACTTATCTCTGTGGACATCTGGTTGGATATCCCCGAAATGTATACAGGTTCTATTAGGTTAGAGGGCATCGCTTCTAGGTTGGAGGCCATCGGTATTAGGTTGGAGGCCATTTCCCCCAATTTGTTGTTCCTTGCCTCAAAGTCGGCCAAGTGTTTTTCACCCCAGGTGCGGGTGCGCTGCTCCATCGAATGCAACGCAAAGGAATGCTATAATGTAGTAAATACAGTAAATACATGATTAATACATAACCCCCCTCCCCCCACATGGTAGGTCAACAAGGTCTAGAAATGTGAGATACCACTCATGAGGTCCACCTCCCCTGAATAATTTGCTAATCGGCTAAGAAGCAAGTAGTAGTAGTAGTAGTTGTTGTTGTAGTAGTAGCAGTAGTAGTATAGCTGTAGCTGCAGTAGGAGGAGGAGTAGTAGTAGGACCCAATGACACAGGATCAAGTCAATAGGGAGTAGTAGTGCAAATTATTGAGGGGGGACTGGCCCGTGTGAGGGGTACCCTTTGTGAGTTTCTCAAACGATTGCGTTTAATTACTTTTAAACAAACAATTTATAGGCCTTGAACCCTGGACATGTTTTGGGGTTTATCAGAAAGTCAGTAGTAGGTAGTAGGTAGTACGTAATAAGTAATAGGTAGTGGTAGCAGTAGCAGTAGAAGTAGCAGTAGCAGTAGCAGCAGCACAGCAGCAGCAGCAGGAGCAGTAGCAATAGCAGTAGGAGTAGCAGTAGGAGTAGTGGTAGTAGTACTAGGAGTAGCAGTAGCAGTAGCAGTAGCGGTAGCTGTAGTAGTAATAGTTGCAGCAGCAGCAGCAGCAGTAGTAATAAGAAAATTTTACCTGGTTGTGGGCTCGGATTAACTGGGGGGGTTCTGGCACCCAACTAGACAATGAGGGGGGAAAATAAGCAACCAATGTAACCAATACTACTTTTAATTTGGGCAACATCCGGGAGCTTTGTGGGCTCGGATTAACTAGGGGAGGTTTATTAATCACGACTTTACATTATATGGCCATATATCTTGTGATAGTATGTATTATGATGTATTATGTATGTGTAGGCAATGAATGGTCTTGTGGATGCTAGGCACTGCATGCCTGAAAGGTGCGCCATCAGCAAACTCCTTGCCTTGCAATACTCCCAAATGTCCCACCATCAAAGCATGACAGAAATGTCCCAGAAAGCTCCTCAAGCCAACGATTTTGCCGGACCAGGTCCAACAGTTGGGGGTGCCGTGTGAGGTTTGTCTCTCCCTCGTCAAAATGGCTCAACACCATCAGCATGCTTAGCACCTCAGCGGAAGCCAAGGCCTCTTGAGCCACACCAAAAGAGCCAAGAGTCAACGAGAGCAGAGCCAGTGGCACATTCTGCCTCAAAAAGTAACTCGTTTACGAAATAAATTCCCTGAGACAAAAGCAATTGTAGCAATTTTGGAGGCCATCGCTATTAGGTTGGAGGTCATTGCTATTAGGTTGGAGCTTGGCTTAGAAACGCCAAGTTCTTCTGCATGGCGGCTTGGCCATTGGCGCCAACCCTTGCAACTCTTTTGATACCCTTCGGACCCACGAGGGAAAGTGCTGGTTGTGCACGGCACTTTGTCATCCTGTGTATTCTTTGGTGAGCTTGCCAAGCATACACTGCTCTTTTTTGGAGGCGCGCTGCGCTGCACCATACTTTGCCTAGACATCAAATTGCTATTGTTCAACTCTATATGCACTAATTCCAAAGCTTGGCTACGGCTAGTACAGCATATTGACAATGTATATATATATATACAGTACAAGCAGCAGCATACTTGTCTGTATCTCCTAAACTTCAGCATCAATCAACTGCACTCTAGACAAGGTGCTCTCAAGTCATCTTTGCTGGCCTTCCGATATCTTGCCATGCTATTCCTCCCGACCAAGCACTTTTCCAGTGGTTAGCTGCTGCTGCCTATTTATTAATCTTTGGAACTTGAGAAGGCCTTTGTGACATCCAAAAATCAAGGACTGTCGGTCTTCCAGAGGTTTTCCAGTTTGACGAATTTTTGTGTTGTTTTTGCTGACTACTTACGATGCAACATTGTTGCTACATCCATCTAGATGTCCCATACTACACAATATCTCGGTGTTTCAATCCTACATCCAGCAGAACCCTTCAGCTTCCTCGAATTTCTGAAACATATGCCGTATGCCCTACATGCTGATTAACCGACTCCTGATCAGCTCTGGCGGAGCATGAGGATCCTTTTGCTGCTTGGACTCGGCCTCCAATCTTGAGAGCTGATTCCTTGGTTCATGTTCAAGGGTCTAGGCCTGCACCTCTTTTGGAGTGTCCCGGGTTAGCACAGGTGTCCGAAACTCCGCTTGGTCTCTTGCTCTCTGTACTTCTGCATGTGCTTACTGAAGTGAGCTCCAGCTACAGCAACATGTTTTGCCGTGTTTCATTCCTTTGAGCTCAGAAACTCTCAGCTTGTTGCTTTCACAGGGATGCGTAATTTGGGTTTTCGTTTTGCTACAAGTAGTGCAAGTGAGCCGCATGTTTCGCTTCAGCCATTGTTCCACTATTGCATGCTCTTCTCTGCATGCCTAACCACAAGTGTAACAAAATGCAACAAGCCATTGTCGGGACTCATTGACGGAGAACTCCAATACTATCCTATACCACACTCTCAGCCATTGCTTAAGAATGTTAGGTTTCCCTAAAAATCTAGGAACCAAATGAACAGTGTACGAATCCCTCTTCGAATTCCTGGAGTATGTAGGGGTGGTTGATTATTTAAGGAAAATGTGCCACAGAATCAACCACCCCAGGTTCGCCCATCTGAAAAGCTTTACAAAATCAAACCCCCAGGAAGCAGGCAAGGGACAACTCTCCAGCCGATATTACAAAATCAACTGTCCCAGTTTCAAGATACAGTCATTACAAAATCATATGCACTTTGTCGACATGGCTCAGCGCAATTACAAAATCAACCTTCCTGAGGTCTCAAACAAGATACAAAATCTCAATCATTCAACCTGGGTTGGAAAAAACTAACGATTTTGTAATGCTGCGGTGCAATTTCACTACAGAATCAGGGATCCCAAGATATTTAGACAAAATCTAGATTACAAAATCACTACCCTCAAAGCTCGATGCATTATGGAATCAGGGACCGCAGGTGAACAGGTGAACCAAAAGATGAGGGCCTTGCTGCCAGGTGGTATGCAGCAGGGAACCATTTCGAAGAGTTGGTCAACTTCGCAGAATGTTTTGCACCAGTGCGAGACATCGATGTCTTGTTTTTCTTTGGAGCTTCCCAGAACATCATGACTCTTGTTCTTTCTAAATGTTTCCAAATTGCTTTTATATGATATGCTTTTACTGGCCTGGGCAACATGCAATTTTGGGTGCTTGTGAAACACAGCCAGTCGGTCATTCAGCAAAATATGCGAATCATGAAAAATTATGCGAATTATTGAGAAGTTATGAGACCATGTTCTACAGCAGCTCAACCCACTACAAATTCAACTGTCCATGCTTTACAGCACGTCAATCGATTACAGAATCAACTGTCCATGTTCTACACAAGGACAACCACCCCACCCTCAAACTTGCATAAAATCAAGGATCCCACCCTCAACAGTGCGGCACTTGGGACCTCCATACCAACATATCGAGTCTTTACAAAATCAACAGCCCCAAGAAAGAATGCTGCCCTTACAAAATCACCCACCCCACCCCCACAAAAATGGGCACCTGGAAATGAACTTTTTTGTTGACAATATCGAAGCTCTTTTTGTTACCCAGGCAGGTTGATTTTGTAAAGGAAATTTGAAGGAGGATGTGTACGAGCTTTCCTGCGTCCTGGCTAGTAGCTACCTATTGCTAATGGATTACGTCTTACTACGGCCTACCCCCGCCGCTAGACATATATATATATATACACATACACACACACATTTGATGGAACCCCATCATATTTTGTTGCAGTCACCCGTCCTCATGAAACTCTGCTCGGCTGAGTTCAGCTTCCTTTTCCTGGCGTTCCTCCTGAAAAATAAGCTGCAAGGATGTGTCTCTTTGCAAAAGCCTAATTATAAAGGCTATAGGTGCCTTGAATGTCAATAGAAGCCTTCCTGCTTGAGTCCAAAGCCATGTTTAACGACTATATGAGGAATGATGTCGCCTCTGGGAGACTTGCTAAGACTGCTAAGAGATTCGGACTCCTTTGAATCCTCAACTTGGACAAAACGGCCTTTGATGGTGCATGTGCAGTGTGACTTTCAATCCAAGCATTTTCAGAGTTTGTGTTCAGGTAGACCGCAAATGAAACAAGTTGCGTCCATCAACATTCCAGCACTCATAGTGATGAGGATGTTGAAGAAAGCAAAACCATAAAGACCGCCCACAGACCCACAGACCTGAACAAGCAGCGCCACCCTTGAGTGTCTGTCTTTCCTGCCTCTATCTCACTTTTGCCCCATGTTACACGCTACGTTACATAGTCGTTACACACACATATTGGATTGGATTTCAGCCAGCCTTGCACAAGCAGCTACGCCAATCAAAGGAGTCGCTGAGAAATGGAGCTTGGATTTGGGCGACATTTGACTTTGAACGGAAATATGTTGAATGTGTTGAGTTGAGCTAGCAATTGCATGCAGTGGCTGCTCTGATTGAAGTACATCGATATATATATATATATACATGAGTCCAAACACCCATACCACATTCCAGTGAAAACGCACATTGCCTAGATATGGCATGGCACAACGGGTGTCGGAAAAACGCTTGGAAGCTCAAGCGTTCAAGAACTTTGAAGTCAACAGTTTCGGTATGGACTTTCATTAGAAGAACACCAGTCTGTCCCGTGTATTCAACGAGGATATGCATGATGCAAATGCAAAGCCACCAAAAGCAACCAGGTCAGGTCCTAGGTTGGAATATCATGTCATGTGTGATGAAAGTGGAAGACTGATGTGAGTCTGAAAATCTGACCGAATCTGCCACCTCGTCCTCATCTGACAGCTTTTCCTCGTGAAGCAAAAAAGTCCAAGTCCAAGTCTGACCGAGTCTGACGAACATGCAGTAGGAATGATGCCTTCACAAGTTATGAGCTGCCATGCTTTGTTCATAAGTCTGTCAAAAAATATCAAACGACTGATTGGCAGGGTTCGGTGTGCCAGTTGGATGGCAAAGCTTTAACAACATGGAACAAATTAGAACCTGCCCTTCCACACAACTGAACCTTTCAAAAAGCAAACCCTCGACTCATGGCTGCGACTTTGAGACCAGCACCCATTTGCTGTAGTCATTCATTGAACTCAAGCTGCCAGGGCCTCCATGCACACCAAGGGGGGAAGGTCTCAAGAATAACGAAAAGCTGAATATCTTTTCAATCAAAGACGGGGCGACAAACAAACAAATGCTTAACATCTAAAGTGCTCAAATACCATGTCAGCATACCCGCATGATACCATGTCTTCATCTGTCCAGGCAATATACAGTAGATCAGTAGATGCTTCGTTCTTGTTGCAGCCTGGAGAGGACTCTGGAGTTGGATACTTGCTCTGTTTGGCCATACAACACAAATCAACAAATTCATGTAGAAAGTGGTGGCCTGGCAGCACTAACTCCAGCGAGCTGAGACCAACACAGGTGTCGGAATACAGTCAGATGAGTGGCAATGAGTGGTACACTGACAATCAAATCGAGCTGTGTTTGTGCTTCCAAACATCAACTATTCACAGGGTGTTCAATGCGCAGGATCACCTGGGGTAAGACGTCAGCCCCTTGAATCGGACTCCTGCTTAGCTATCCTGCCTGAGTGGTTGTTCAGATTGTTCTTAAACTCGGGAGTGAGGGTTCCAATGTTGGGTAACAATTAGAACAAGCGACCTTTCTGAGTCGGAATACGTTCCAAAACTATTATATATTGAAATTGGCCAAAATATGGAACGATCAGCTGTGCTCATCCAGAGTCTAGAGGAATCAAGTAAGCATATCCCTCCAGGGCCTTCAGGTCCAAGCAGCAGTCACCAACGAAAGTTGCTTGACAGCTCGATACAATTTGCTCAACACCACGGGGCCCGAATAATGGAGAATAGAATCCAGAGAATCTAGTGGACTGTGCGAGCTGTATGAACAAGCCTGAGTCTGTCAGTAGCAAGGCGAGCAACATATGGTTGCTGTCATGCTCCTTCTCTGTTCTTGTCCATTTTGTCAATCTGATCGTGTAGCAAGTGCACTTGGACACAATGCCTGAGCCAATATGGATGTGCTTTCCACGGATAGTGTGTGCATCTTTGCTTGTCGTTTCTACATGTTCACCTCCGCATCTGCGTGCATCAAATAATCATGGTTTATATTTTTTGAGCATATACAAAGCTACAAAAGCATTGTTTTATCATGTTTTATAGTTGAATCAAGGCAGACCCGCTCCAGAACACCTCAAGCATGTGTAAGTGCAATGACTGAAGCAAAAACTGCAGCTGGAAGTGAAAATGAATGCCAAAAGAAGAAGGCCATCCTTGATAGGTGGCAAAAAATACACTCCCTAGCACATCACCTGGCATGTCCGCCTGTAGTTGCGAGTTGTTGCAAAGTAACCCAACGAACAAGTAAAGCTGATAAGCAGAGTCATCAGAATGGTCTGTATTCATGGTCAACTATAGACAAACAAGGTCCGAGCGATCGCCAAAACCTATGGGCACATTTGTGGAATGGGGGTTCGCTATGTCGCCTTGCAGTATTTCGCACCTTTGTCATATTTCTTGAGTTTTTCCCCCTGCTCACATAGCCAAAGTGAAGTGCACATGGATATGGGTAGTGGGAGAAAAAGAAAGAGAGAGGGAAAGAGAAAGACACGCTTCCTCCTCCCTTCTATGTGGTTCTTTTTCTAGAGCTCTTCATCTGTGGCAGACTCCACAAGCACTGCGAAATGATCATCCAGGGGTATCGCTTTGATATCGCTTCATGTAAAGGGAAAACAACGCCAAAAACAGATTTCCAGAGCTTTCGTCTGACAAGGTTGCAAAGTACAATTGAACCAAATGATTAAAACTTAATGAAGTGTACATTGTGAAGTTATCGCTTTTGGGGGTTCACTATATGACTATATCGATTATACTGTACTTGTTTTTGGATGATTTCAATGCATGTGAGTGCAATTCACTCGGACCTTTCTTTCTTGAGCCAAACGTCGCCAAGTTAATGGCTGGTTTCGAAAGTTTCGAAGGGGCCTTCAAGAGTGCTTGGTACACTTCTTGTTTTGCGCGGACTGACTCGCACTCCCCCCGGCATACTTTATGCCGCTACATGCTCCTTGGTCCGGAGCGGATCAAAAAGAGTGAGTAGCCGATCCAGCCTCCCGGGCCTTGGATCTCACTTCGCCTCCAATCGCTGTCGATCAGCACCTTGCGGTTCCAATCCTGCCCCTTCCATGCGAAAGTGACGCGCATGAACTCCAGATCTGTGATCTGCTCAGGGCAGCTGCGATGTTCCGGATGGAACCTTTGCACTCTGGTGCCACCATGGTACCTGATGAGCCAGCGGACACCATCCATGTCAATGTAGTCCCACTTGTCACTCTTGTGAACCGGCTTGTAGAAGAGAGCCTCTTCCTCGATGACGTCCTGCACGGCGTCCAACACCTGCGGAGTCCAAAAGACGGAATCCTGAAACTCCACCTGGTCATCCATCATGCCACCAGTAGGCCTCATCAGCATGGTCGGTGGAGCTTTCCCCGGCCGGTGCCAAGGCCGATCGGTGGCTGCTTGCTGTCGCCTCTCCATGGTAGGTTGAGCCATTGGGCCACCTGTTGCCACGGAGCCGGACTTAGAGATCCCCTGCAGGGAAGACCCTGCCGCCTTCGAAGCCGTCAATGCCGCTTGTCCACGCGCAGCCGCCTGGCTTGGCCTCGAAGATGAACTCGCTGAAGCCCCACTTCCATAGCCCCGCTGTGCCGGCACTGGTGGCTGCTTCACCGGTGGTGCCTTCGCTGGTGGTGACCTCTCCAAAAACCATCATTTGGAATGAGGCGGATGGTTTGTGTCTCCGTGTCCACCTCTTCAGGGCGTAGTACCCGCAGACCTTCGCTGGTGACCAAGATGGGCGGCCGCGTCACATCATACGTGCCCTCGTCCATCGCTGCCTGGGTCACCTGCGAGGTCGTGTAGTGCACCTCTTCTTGTTGATCTTGTCGCGGCCACCACGAAAGACCGCTGGAAGCCGCATTTGGATGCGGCCCCACACGCCATGGCTAGCACTGGACGCTTCCACCTCAAAGGTGGTTGAACTGGGAGCCTCTACGCTACTGTTTGGAACCCTTGGGTCTGTTGTTTCCGAGATGACATCCCAAGAGTTGCGCGCGCGGCCCGACGCATTGGAATTCATGGCCTCTTGTTCATGTCTTGTGTTTTCTTGTCTGGTCCGTTGTTGTGACCCTGCATGGTCTGTTTGTTCCTGTGACGGCGTTCGCCGCAGGGCACACAAGCGAGGTGGAGGTTGGGAGGAGTGTTCAAGTGACTTCGATTCATGTTGAATTCCCCTGTCGGAAAAATGTGAACACTCCCCCGGTCCCTGACTCCCCGCAAAAACCCACTACTCTTCACCACGTAGGCCATGCCAATCGCCAAATATGCCACCAAAGCCACCCTTGTTGTTGTCGGCAAGCATGTTGCAGCGGCGCAACCAGCCATGCATAGTGCCAACTTCGCCACCTTGGTCACTGCCTCCACCATCTTCGCCTTGCTCTTCGCCTCCGTCACGACCTCCGTCACCTCCGCCACGACCTCCGTCTCGCGCGTTCCCCTTTCTGGAGCTTGAAAGTGAACGAAGCGCTTGAACCAGCTCCAAACGTTCTTGTCCGCGATCGCCTTGGTGAACACGTCCGCGATGAGGCGCTTGCCGTCCAGGTGAAAGATGCGCCATGACCCTTCTTGTAGGCGTTCTTTGAGAACACTTGCACGCAGCCTCAGATGCCGCGTTCTCCATGGACCATCTGGGTTCTGTATGATGCTGATGGCCGCCATGATGTCACCATAGGTAACCGCCTCCGGCGTGTGGCCACTGATCTCCACCCACATGCCTTGACCGAGTCCGCCATGGTGATCGCCTCGATGTAGGAGTACAACTCTGACTCTGCGGTTGACAGAGCCATACAGGTTTGCCTGGAAGTCTCCCACTGGATGAGCGCACCACCCAACATGGCAGCAATGCCTTGAACACTTCGACCACCTTGTGGAGCGAACGACACATCACTGTACATCTCCACCAGCTCTTTGGGAAGGTCGCCATCAGGTCCTCGATCTCCCGGCCTGCAGGGTCCATAGAACAGGTAGAGCTTGGGGGTCGTTGAGGTACTCCAGAATCTGCTCCCCTAAGGCGACTGCCCACCTTGGATTCTTGGTTACCTGCCTTCCCAACATGCTCACCGCATAGGACAAATCCGGCCTGGACCTCAAGGCGATCCACAAAATCTCCCCCGCGATGGACTGAGCTTCGCGGATGTGAGCAGCAGTTACATCTTGTTCAGGTTCTTCAGGAGGCATCATGTCCTTTGCCATAGGTGAGGACCTCTTGCCAGTAACCTGTCGCCGCTTGATCAAGTCCCGGAGATAGGAGGGCTGTCCCAACATGATCTGGTCCTCGAAGCGCTTCATCTCATAGCCACAGAACCTGACCCACTGCTGGTGGTTCACCTCCTCCGGCACCGACGTTTGCCAATGGCTTTGAATCTCACGGATCAGGGCCTGGTGCACCTCCTCCCCACTGAGCACTAGGAGGTCGTCCATGTAGACCAACAGTAGCCCTTGCGGCTGCGCACATCCCTGCTTCATCACCCTCCACAAGTTGCGCTCGCACGTCACCTCGAGGAAGAACTCATCTTGTTGTTGTTGCCAACAGATGGATGCCAACACGGAGTCCCTGTGAACCGCCCAATGTGCTGGTGAACTTGTAAACCCGTATAGGGCTTTGTCTATCAACCACACTTCGTCTGCCGCCGCCACGCCCAATTGGACCATGATGCGAGGAGGTTCAACAGCGACTGGTCGAGCATTCTCAGGTACGGGACGTGGTGCCTGTAAGAATGCCGATTTGACATCTAGCGAGCTCACCCGCCACTCCTGGTGTGCAGCTTGGCGTATTGCCGCTCTGATCAAAGTGCCGTTAGCGCCTGAGGCGTAAGCCCCTCCTGGGCTGTTTTCTGGTGGCGGGTCTGCACCGGGTGTGGCCATGTTCCCGCATATGACTGCGCGGGCACGTTTTGCGCCGGTTCCGCCCTTGCGGACGCACATCATTTTGCCAGGCACTAATTCAGTATTGTGAGGAAGTGAAGCTCGTGGAACTGGCCGAACAGCTGAGGTGTCACGCACCAGGACATTGTATTCATACTCAAAGGCCGGCTTCCACTCCTCGGGATTTGCACGCACTTCACTCAGCGGCACCGTCACCGTTTGCAGCACTGCGTCACCAGCTTGCACACTGGCCAATCGCACCCTTTCGCTCTGTTCCTTGCGCGCCAACTCGGTCAAGCGACCCTCAATCTCATCGCGCCACCCCACGAAGTGCTCCACAAAGTTCCCCTGAACCCTGCCCTGCTCTTCGTTCTCCGGCACGTAGTCCAACCATTGTTGTAGTTGGCATTGCACAACTTCATGTTGATGCTCCCACACCTGTTGCACCTTGTCCAACTTCACCAGCCGCTTCCCCACGTAGTCCTTGGCGCTGTCCTCCCCCGTGCCCAGCATTCTCATAGCCCTGACACCTCTTGCGGAAGTCGCCGTCGACGATATAGGAAAGTCTAGCGGTTGGTCTTGCCATATATGTCCTCCTTGTCCACGGGCTGAGGGTCCAACGACGCAGCTGCATCCCCACCTGATGTAGCCTTGCGCGAAGTTGACAAAGGCGAAGAATCCCCCCCCCGTTGTAGGATGCGAAGCCCGTGGTGGACCTGGTACTTGTTGTTCACTGGTAGGAGGTTGTTTGCCCACCACCCTGTGCGTTGGCCTTCCAGGCTGTGGTTCCTCCTCCAACTGAAGTGCAACGCCTCCATGTTGGGCTGAACCGCCTCCCTGACGTGCAAGATCTTTCCATCGGTGAGCTCAACCACCCACCCATCACTCATCAACGGGCACGGACATCGAAGTCGACCGCGAACAAAGGGAGCTGCCAGACCACCTTCTTTATGCCATTTCTTCATCTTGACATAGACCATGGCGTAGAAAGGGATCATCGGCAACATAGGAACTCCCAGAGCCAGTTTCACCCGAGTCTTTCTTTCCAGTTGGTTCACCTCGGACTCGATGTGGCCGTTGGAGGCCGGGTCATCACCGGCCGTGAACGTCTGCAAGATGCCCATTGTTGCGCACCACTTGCGCATTTGTCGACTCAACAGTTCCTTGGCACGGTCTGAATGAAGTCGATTCGTGGCTATCCCCATAGCTCTGAACTTGATCAGGGTCCTCTGCGTGGCCTCGATCACCATCTCCTGAGCTCGGGATTCCAGCGGCCCCAAAAAGCCTGCGCTCACAATCCGCAACAGGTTTTCGATTCTCTGATTCGTTTGCGCCGTCACGTTTGTTTCTGTGAAGATGGCTGCGCCCACCACCATTGCAGTGGCAGAGTTGAAGGGCATCCTCAAGATGTTGCAAGATAGCCGGCCTAACCTGAAGGTCGACGCTTCCCACGAAATGGAGAATGTGAGGGAGCTCTTGCTGTGGTCCCGTCCGTTGTTCTCTGACAACTTTGTCCGTGGCGGCGCGCTCGCCTATGTCATTGCAGCGCTGACGACGGTTCGGCTACACTTGGAAACCGGGGGGTGCCTTCAGATTGCGCATTGGGGGGACTACGCCACTTTGGACGAGCCAGGTGAGCCTTCGCGTCCTTTCCAGGAAAATCTGGGCTTGCTGCGTGGCTTGGATGTGAAGGTTCACGAGCTGAGAGATGGCATCAAATGGATCTCGTCTTTGAAGCTACCCGATGATGGGTCTGTGGCTACTGCGGCCTTCAAGAGTGCACGTTCTTGCCTGTGCGATGCTCTGGTGAATATAGTGTACGCTCTGAACGTTGGATGAGGCCCAAGGCCCACCTGCTCATTTACATGTGGGTTCTTAGGACGTAGTTGTGTGACCAACTATATATAGGTATACTCATTGGCAGTGGAGGCCAAAAAAAAGCGCAGTGTATGGTGGTGTTTCATGGGTCCATGTGCGGTGGTCCGCGGCATTGAGTATGATAGTTTATCAAGTATATATATATATATGTGATATATCTGATATCTTGAGTTGCACGCTGCAGCCTTTTGTTGTTGCAAATGCATTGACATTTGGCCAAGAATTTGAGGTAGCGCTTCGATTCATCGTGACATGACGCTACATGTCTTCAAGGGCACACGCCGCTGCTAGTGACCTCTCCGCCTTGCTCCAGGATGTGACAGCCCAAAAACTCTACCAAATCAAGCGCCGGATTGAAAAGAAAGAAGGCACTGGGCATTTGTCCGGAGCATTCAAATGAAAAGTGAGGGAAACCTTGGAACCGTATAAGAATGTGTATGATAAACTTGAAGTTGAAGCCGAAGATGGTGGCACGCGCGTTTCCTTCTACGCGGCACGCCTTTCAACTTTATTGACGGTGTTGTGCGCCAAAGCGCCTGACTTCAAGCAACGTCTGATGTATGTGAAGACACAGTGTCCTATGCTCCATTTTTTTGTCCGGTGATGAAACCACTGGAGGAAATGTTCTACGAGTGAGTTCTAACAAGAAGGTCTTTTTCTTCTTCGTAGCCATTGTTGAGACAGGTGAACTCCAACGCCCAGATGCATGGCTGCCCTTTGCAGCAGTACCCTCCCGGGACTGTTCCATGGTGGCTGGTGGCGTATCAGCCATAGGCTGCGCTCTGGAATCTTCATCGATGGCGAACTGATTCGCTTCAAACTGCAAGGGTATTGCGGAGACTACGACAGCATCAAACTACTCTTTAGCTCCAAAGGAGCGGCAGCCAGAAAGCCATGTTTAATATGCCAGAATATAGTGGACAAACATTCAGGCATCCCGGACAAGGACTCCTACCAGATGTTTTTTTACTTATAAGTCCTGTTACGCTACTTATACTTATATGTAACATAAGTATACTTATGCAACTTATGGACCTTACCAAATAAGTAGGACAAGTGCGACGGCAAGTAGAACATGTTGTGTTTTTGAAGGTTTTGATTCTTTCTGTCCGCATGTAAATTTCAACCAGATACAGCCGCATAAAAAAAGAAATATCTATATATATATATATTTGTTTGTTCGTGTGAACTGGTCGGCGCACCGGAAGTCTGGGGTATATAGAGATCTCTGCGGCGGCGTCGGCGACAAAACCAAAACGCGCGGCGCGGCAGCCCCAAACCACCAAAAAAACCAAGAAACACAATATTTCCCGTCCCGGCTTTCCCACAATTTTCCCACAATTTATTTCATAATTTTTCATTCTTCCCACAATTTCCCTTATTAAAGGTAATTGGCAGGGTCTTTCCCACATTCTACCTCTCAAAAGTTTTCCCACAATTTCCCGCAATTTTCCCACAATTCCGGCCACTCCGTTTTCTTGCGCCCAGTGAGTGCTCTAGAGTGGCCCAATGAGCCCGATAGAGGCTTCCAGCTTATACACCTCAGAGACCAGCACACCCACAGCGTCCAATGCGTACAGGATGTCGGTCGCCAGCTGTCTATAATATATATATATATATATGCTCCCCCAGTCTATATTTGCTTGAGCCCAACTGCCAGGACAGCCCTCAAAACCTCTATCCCCATAAGTAGGACAAGTAGAAAATAAGTACAACTTGGTTTTTTTCGTCATACTTACGTTCTACTTATAAGTATGCAAAATTTTTAACATAACTAGCGAAACTATATAAATAAGTACGATAAGTTCCAAGCGGTTTTTTGTATAACTTACGGCACTTATCATGGTTGTTACTAAGATATAAGTCTAGTTGTCCCATTCATAACTAAGTTATAAGTAAAAAAACATCTGGTACTTCATCGACATACGTTCTTCTGAGGTGGACCGCTTCCAGCAAATTGACACCCAAGATTTCTTTGCAGCCTATGATGAGCTACTTCGCCAAGTGGCCAACGCTAGCAAGACTGCCAAACAGGATGTTGAAAAAAACTTTGGTTTTGTCTTGCGCGAAAAGAGCTTGATGGCAGACCCTTTAGCAAGGCAAATCCTACCACTACACAACGTGGTGTTCGATTCTTGCCATACATACTGGAGCAACGGTATTTGTGCGACGGAGCTGCTGCTATTCCAGCAATGCCTAGAAAGGAGGGTCGGTATATCCCTGCAGCAGATCCAAGCATCATGTGTGGAGGTGCCCTGGGTGTCCTCAAACACGCGCTACAGGCCTCCCAGCGCCCGAAAGGCTTTGTTTCATTCGACTCTGTGGGCCGGGGACATGCTTAAACATGAAGCTTCGCGCATCGTTGTGCTCTTGCCGCTTCTTCACTTTTATGGTTCGGTCTTGGCAAACAATGAGATCACAAAAGAGCTGGCATCCCTCAGGGCATTGTACGACGCCGCTCGATGAGAAGTGAAGTGTTTTTCTCATGTTGCAATTGAGTTGAAGATGTTCTTGTGTGTTGTGTTTTTTGGCAGTTGGTTTTTGAGGGTGTTTTGGCCCTGAAAGAGATCAAGCAGAGCTCCACCCAAGAAAACGCACTGAATGCCCTGGATCACGCTCAGCGGAAACATCAGGAGCTGTTCATAGCAGCCCATGGTGCATCAAGGCTGCGGCCTAAACATCACTATCGCCTTCACCACCCTTGTCAGTACAAGCAACATGCTTGCTTCCTCGACACATTTCCCATTGAGGCTAAGCACCAGTTGTACAAAAAGATGTTGGCAAACTCATTAGCTGGTGAATGGCAAGAGAGAAGCGGGCTTTTAAGCCAATGCATTCTCAAAAATGTGTTGCTGAAGACTACTGTTCGGTTGCGAGAGCGTCCATGGGTGCACCGCTTGATGGAGCCTGTTCATCAAGGACGTGAACTGTCAAAACTGACAGGAATTCACGATGATTGCCGCATCTCTCGCGGATGCTATTTAGGCAGTTTGGAGTTGCAGCCAGACGATGTTCTTTTCTTTGCGGCGAAGGACGGTCAGGAAGCTGGCGTTTTCCAGTTCTGCGTCGAGTACAAGTCGTGCTTGATGCTGGTGATTGAAAGCCTGCGCGAGTTGGACGCACCTGTTCCCAAAACACGACTTTTTGCACGCGACGGCATCAAGAAAGCCGTGTGCGTTCTTCACATGGTTTCGTGGAGACAACCTACGTGGTGGACTCTTCAAGAGGGTGGTCGACTGCTATGCTTGCCCTAAAAAAGAAAGGCGTTATTTGTTTCATGTTCGTCGCGGTGGTCCGCAAGACAGTTGCTTCTTTCTTTTGTTTTTCTGGTGTTTTTCTTTGTGGTTGCGCAGCGTGTTCCTAACACACAAATGTAGGTCATTGTGTGTGTTGTTTTTCTGATGCGTTTTGATGGTTTAAAGTAGAAAGTAGAAAGTGTTTTTCTTTTAGCACGGTGGTGGTCCACCGCAGAAATTCGAAACGCATGTTTTGTTTTTTTGGGGCTTTTTGCTTTTCTTCAGCAAAGCGGCGCGGTGAGCGTTCTACATTAAAAACCCTTGCAACAGCAGCGCTTTCCCAGGTAAAAAGCATAGTTTTTCGATGTCCTTCGATTTGGGCCTTGCTACTCGGAAACCTGAGAAAACATAGTTTTTGGACATCAAAAATCACCAATTAGAACTTATAGAACTTAAAAATAGTTACATTTAAGTTACATCTTACTTACGAAGCCCTCCAGCTAAGTTAACTTAGTTTTAAGTAATTTGTAACTTCACCAAGTAAGTTACAAGTGTTTTAACTAGGGGGGCCCATTGCTGTATGACGGCCATGGTTGCAAGGGTCGGTTCCGTGGGCCTGCGCAGCCCCAACTGGTAAGCGCGCTCAAAGACGCGCTCACAGTTCCGGAGAAATGGAGCTCCGTCCTGCCTCAGATGCTCCCAGTCGTCCGCCGTCATGTATTCATATAGCGCGCTATGGTATTGCATGGGCTTCCTGCCGCCCGACATGTTCCACGGGCCCTCCAATGTTCCAACCACTGATCCCGAACGAGGGGCCTTGTTCACCTTGGTCGTGAAGTCCATCTCCATCCTTCACGGCCTTGATCTCCTGGGTGTAGTCGGGAACCACCGCCACCGCCATGAGGGCATACTTGACTGGTCTTTTGGTGACCAGATCCACGGTGTGGGTCAACGGCCCCGCAATGTCCACTGACACTGACCACGCCGATGACATTCTGTCCTCCATAGACCTTCTGCGATGAGGCTTTTGTGACCCCGTCTCTTCAATGCACAGACGACAGTCCCTGCGGAACGGTCGATGGCCCAGGGCAAAGTGTTTCTTCCACCCTTCAACCTCCTTGGCTTTCATCGCGGCC